TGAGACTGGGTTTTGCTGCTTTGGGTCAGATCTATTGTCCCTGCGACACGTACCTATGCTAGCAACCGGCCTCTCGGAATTAAGAATTTTAAAAAAATATTTATTATGCTCACTCTATTGAAGCCCATCTGATTAGCGAAACACCAAATCTTACGGCTTGCTAGTCGTTTTTACATATTAAAATGACCTACTCTCAGGGATGAGACTGGGTTTTGCTGCTTTGGGTCAGATCTATTGTCCCTGCGACACGTACCTATGCTAGCAACCGGCCTCTCGGAATTAAGAATTTTAAAAAAATATTTATTATGCTCACTCTATTGAAGCCCATCTGATTAGCGAAACACCAAATCTTACGGCTTGCTAGTCGTTTTTACATATTAAAATGACCTACTCTCAGGGATTCCAATTAAGGGTTGTTGTTTTTTTCCAGCGAATGATCCTAAATATGAAGTGAACATAAATACACAGGGGTAGATTATGCTACAGCTAAAACCTCAATTTCCCTTTCCATATATTTATCTTGATCTATTTCTAAATCGTCCAAAGCCCGCAATTGCTAATTTTCTATTTTACTAAATGGATTCCTAATTACCCAGCTAAATAATGTTAAACCCACGTAGCTTTAAACCTCTATTTTTAAAGCCCTCTGGGTAAGGTGTGATTCCGGCACCTCTATGAAATCTCCCTCCAAGAAAAAAAAATATCTTAGCATATTCTTTTATTTTTGTTTTTTAAAAAAAGATGGCGGCTAAGAAAAAGACTGCTGTTAAAGCAGTCATGAAGAAATGCAATAAATTCCTTGTTGTTTTATGAAAATTTACAACTTTGTGATAGAACTTTATGAGTGGCTGGGTTCTGGGATTGGCCAGAGCCGGTCATGTGGACTGCTAACCGTGAACATGAACTTTTTATGATTTCCCATGTGGTTACAATGCACCAGTCTTTTGGCCGCTCCACCTTGGGTCGGATCAGTGTCCTCTGTAGGGCTCTTGCTTCTTTACATTTTTTTACTTTCGTGTATAAACTCGATAAGGCTAAAAGGGGGAGGAGGTGAGGGGTAAGGGGGGGACACACATGCACACACTCTCCTCCCCCCTCCCCCAAAAAAGAGACAGAGAGAGAGTTTAAAGATTTTTGGTTTTTAATCCCTGGGTTAATTTGCCTGCTGGTTTTGGAATCTCAGTAGTAATGGAGGGGAAATGGAGATTCTGTGCCGAGTGGAGTCTGATCTCATTTTTCAAAGAGGGAAGTTACTCCATTTTCTATGCAAATGACAGCAATGCAAGAAGCGATCACAAGTCAGAGAGACAATCGACGGCTATCAGGTTGGGACAATATTTGTCAGCTAAAAGATAAACAAACGCTATTTGCTTTTTAAAAAAAATCTTATACCACAGAAATGGACGTCAAAAGGTAAGGCAATACTATATGTTTCTTTTCTTTTGATATATCTATATCTCTCTATATATTTGCTTTGAGAAAATGCAGTATTAGAACTCCTCTCTCCTCCCCCAAAAGAAAGAAAGAAAGAAAGAAAGAAAGAAAGAAAGAAAGAAAGAAAGAAAGAAAGAAAGAAAGAAAGAAAGGCATTTCAATATCACCTGAATACGGTAGATATTTGACTTAAGGCTGCTATGGTCTTTAGTGACAGTGTCTTTTAGAAACTGCCTTAAAAACAGCCAAGCAAATCCTTTGTGGGTTGTTGCCGTAGATGTATTTTATTTTTTACCCCTCCCGGACAGAATGATCCTGCCAGTGTGCCTGTCTTCAGGCGAGCCCAGTAATTTGGCGAAGTTTGCATGGAAGCCAGTTGGGTTTTCTGTTGCTCTCCGGGCTCGATATGATGTGGTTGGTTTCTTCAAAGAGGGCAGTCCACAGCCGTCCTGAAGAATAAGGGTCTGGAAACTAGAAAACATAATCAGAATAATAACAGAGACAGGGGCTGCAACGTTCGGATTAGATTTATTTTGAAAGTGAAAGAGGACTTCGTGACGGAATAAAGCCGTGTGGATTTCACTGCGTTCTATTATGTCCCTGCAAATGTGACCTGTCTGTGGAACTGTGCATGCCTAAATATTGCTTAGTTATATCTTCCTTTCCCCCCACTTGCTGCCGTGGGGTGTGAAAATATCCTTTTGTTTGACTAGCTTCTGCTTTAAACGAAAAGGTTGCTTTGATTTGAAGAAAATACCTGTTTGGCGCTGCACGTCATTTTGAATGTTCCTTTTTAGTATTTCAGGGCTATAAAAAGACACATTGCTACTGTTTTCTGGGGCTTTTTCAAATATCATAGTATACGAGGCTTATGCTGGAAAGGGATATTGATTAAGGGATACCTTCATGAGTTAACCATTAAAAACAGATGGGCGAGGCGACTTATACCACTGTCTGGACTATTCCTGAATATCATGTGGACAAGAGTACACACTAGCAAGAGTGTAAATGGCAAACAAAACTTGATTGTCAAAAGGTATTTGGGAAGGAACTGTCGAGCGTTTATACATAGCAGGAAAAATATAAACGTCAGCTGAAATGTTTTCCCTTTGCAGTCCAAAAATGGCATAGACTCTTTGGTTGTTGCTGTTCTTCTACAAAGGCACGTGATTATTTTATTTCGTTTAAGTAACATCATTCCAGAATCTATTTCTGCTGATTTTTTCTTTAAAAATTCGACGTGAGAAACCACTTGTAGAACGCAAGAGATAATGTCACTCGAAGTTAAGTCATTTTAATCCGTTTACCCCGGGCACCCTTTCATGCCTGATTGTCTACGTAATCTAAATGTTTTCGCTAGGACACAGATAAGTTGCTAATTAAGGAATTCCTATCGTTTAAACATCACCTAGTTGTTTATTTTTAAAAACGGAAAGGTCTATTTCTCTTTATGTCTTTTCTGTTATAAATGGCTTTCCAGCCCATTTTGTGCAGTATGCTGCCATCTACCGTCCAAAGCAAGAAAACTTCGGTTTGCTTAAATATTTCTCGGTGATTAATATACCTTGAAACTGGCTAACAAATCCCATTTCTACATTTTTCCCCCTAGTAATGGATTATAAATGCACTGCATAGCTGGGTACCTCCTGGAAATGGGGCATATGTGACTTCTCATTTGGTTCAGGAATCTCAGACTTGCTCAATTTTTTTTCTGAGGCCTGCTGCAGCGCGGAGGACCCCAAGTTATGTGTTTTTGGGATCCAGAACTTCTCCATTATGTATTACAAAACCAAAAGGGGGTTTTAAAAAAGCCTCGTTATTTCCAGCGAGCGAACGCAGCTTGTACACAGAGAGCCATAATTAGAGGAGGCGAGAATAAGGCAGGAGATTGGAGCTAATAATAAAGACAAGAACTTGTTTGTTTGTTTGTTTGTTTGGAATGATTCTTCTGGAGTTGTCTTTAAAAGGTAGGTCTACCGGGGTGCACAAAACCCAGGTGATGGCTGGGGAGGGAAGCAGGAGCGAAGAGGGACAATACAAGAAGAATCCCTTTTAAGATACAGTAGGTTTTGAAAGGACAATGCACGCCTTTTATTTTTAAAAGCTCTCTCTGTCTCTCCCTCGGTTCCTCCTACTACCATACAGTTTCCTGGCAACTGTTTATGTCTAGACTAGTGACATTCCCCTGTATGCAAGTGAGATGCCCAGAGACTATGTTAAAATAAATAAAAAGTTTCTCGTTTTGACTAATAACAGCCATGATTCACTTGTTCCATTCTGTAACCCTTCCCACCCGGCGGCACCCCCCAGCCTACCTACATGGTTCATGCTTTCATTTCTCTTCCACCCGTTTCCTTAGCAAGATTTTTTCCCCCTTAACCCTCTCAGGGTTTCCGTTAGCGGAAATAAGGTAATATGAATACATATTTTGCTATCCGAGTGTCCTTCCCGCAACCCCCTCTCACTTTTGCTTTTTTTCCTTCCCCCCCCTTTTGTTAATTATTAGCTGCACTCTTTAATGGAACAATGGTAGATTATTATTGCTCCTTTTCAAAGATCCCATTAACGAGGTTATTATGCACTGCACGGGAAGTCAGGTAAATTAAACTTAAATTGCTGGAAATTAAGTTTCAAATGGTTATGTGCGGATGGAGAGAGGATTTTTTTTAAAACACCTTCAGGGGTCATTGTTTTAAATATGCCAACAATGGAGAGAAAATAACCCTTATGCCTTTTTTTCCCCCTAATAGGGATTTGAGTGAGGATGTATATTACAGGACCAGTCTTCTGTGCTGTGAATAGCTTTAGATGTCGAAATACAGTAACGAGGCTTTTCAGATGTTGTCTTTGGTGTTAGCCTGGCTTTATGGCTGCAATAGGTCCCCTGATCTGGAAGGTCCCGCTGCGTTATGAGTTCGGAGGGCTTGAGAATTCCAACTCTATGGGAGGAAGGGGGTGGGGGAAACGACCCGTTTTTGTTGGAACCCGCTTCCACTTAACTTTCTGCGAAGTTCTTAACTCGCTCAGCTTTTACACAAGCAGGGCTCTGTTCTGTTTGCATTTCGAAATATTTGTGGGCGGCTGTAATCCCCTCATTTATCTGCTGTTCTCTGCTTTTGTGGAGTTGGCATTTGCTACCAGACGAGCAAAAAAAAATGGAGAAAGAGTGAAACTAGCACTCTTCTAAGGGAGACCACTGCTAAGGTACATTCTGCAAACAAGTCCCTTTCATCTTTATTTATTCTCAGCCCATTGGGTAAGGGGGAAAGGTGGGTTCTCAGGGCTACTGGAAACATTTTATACTTCCTTCCGTTGTCTCTAACAACGACACCCTCTTTGGCTACTTTTCTTGTTCATAAAACCAAACGAGGCCCAGATGAAAATACACTAAGAAAAGACCGTCGAAGACTGCAGTGTAAGCTGCACCAGCAACCGCTCTGTTTAGGGCTCTTTCTGTTCCACGCCCCATTCCTGGCTGCCTTTAGAAATTGCCTTGCACAAAACATTTCCCCACAAACCCCCCGCATAGATGGATCTTAAAAGTTTAGCAAGCAACTTGGGAGATAGCCCAAGCATCTTCCCCATTCCCCTCCTCCCCCCGAAAAAAAATGTAAGATAACTTTTGAAAAAGCTATCAAAATGAGATTAGAGACCAATTTACCACTGATCACACCGTTCTGTCTGTGATCAAATGCATTCTGAACACACTGCTAGCTATTACAGATGGCAAACATGCCAGCTTGGAGGTTTGATTATATGGATGATGGACACTACGATCTATGTATTTTTTTCCAAAATGAAGCAAAAGCTTAATTTATGTTTTACACCAAGTTTTCTTCTATTTTCCCCCACCCACTAAAATCCATGAATACTGTTAAGTGAAGCGCCACCTTCCTTAATATTATTCCAGTCTAAATGACAATAAGCAATTAGCGAGAGGCGAGTTTCAGTTAGTGAGTTTATTTTTTTTCTTTCACACACAAAAAAATGACGACAGCCAAAATATAGGACAGGTTAGCCACAAGAATACTAAATTGAACTGTCTCTCAGAGATCTGCGCCAGACATCACCACGTTCGGGGAAAACATTCTTGCGACATACTTCGGGGGGTGACCATTTTCATAGCTATCATCATTAAAAAGATGTAAAGAAAACGTGTTCAGCAATTTTTACTCACTCATGTAATTATCAGGGATTCAAACTTCATAGCCCCATATTCTGCATGGCTGTGCAATTCATCCCAGCTGTTCGCGGTTTTGCTCTTAGACACATTTTGCGTAAACTTTCTAATCAAATGTCTGAGCGTTTGCCTTCTGCAAAGCGATTCACTTCATTGTGTTCAATACACGGTTGTTGTTGTTTTTTTCCAACGGACTGTCAAGTTTCTCTTTTAATCTCGTGTTCCCATGCCCATAAACCAAATCTGCGTAGGTTTGGGTCCACTCCATACACAAAGGAAAACTCTGCAAGAACAAATATAATAGACATCAGTCAGAAAGGAGGGGAGAGAAACTATTTCCTTTGCATGTTATTTCCTTGAATTATAAAGAGAACGCTCCGACCAGTGCCCACGGCAGGGATGGCATAAAATCCTCTGGCTTTGGAGCTGTAAACACAGTGTTTAAAATAAATTCGCTCCTAATAAGAGAACAGTTTCATAAATTGGCAGAAATTGGCAGTTTTGTAGTGACCATGTAAATTATGTGCAATCCTAGGGCCGAAGCACACACATCTAGGTGTGTACGTGGTGTTTTGTATATTTCATTGCATAGGACAGACAGACAGATAGGTATGAATTTGGAAATGCCCCTGAAACCACTCCATTTTCAGTTTTATTGCTGAGGACATTTCTGAAAAAAACACGACTCTCTCTAACATGCCTGGCCAAATATTTAAATCTCACCATGTCTTCTGCTAGAGCAATCTGAAGAAGCGACTCGCCACTGCCAACCACACCTACCGCTAATGAATACAAGCAGAAATATGAGCCACCCCTCTCAGCCCAAACTCATTTCATTCGGTCTTTCGCCCTAGTTTGGAGGAAAAAAACCCTACGGAATTTCGAGTTTATTCCTTGAGAGGTGTCAACTTTTTTTTTCCCAAATAAGTCCCTGGTAGTGGGAACCAGACCCACATGGAAAGGGGGTTACAATATGAGAGCCAGAGTGATCGTTCCCCGTTAGACACGCCAAACAACTGTATTTTAAAAAAAATCTTGATCAGTGGCAATCGATACAGACAGTTCTTGGCCGTAAGCGAACGCTGCCTGTGTAGGGTCGGAACATAGATTTGGTATGAACAATAAAACGCAAGAGGGCACAATTTGGGACATATGTCTAGTTCTAGATGAGTGTTTAGCCCGGAATAAAGGTAACACTTCGATTCCCATTCATCTCCTGGCTGTGCAACTCTTCCACAAAATAAGTACCTAGAATGCGATGAGGCAGCGTGTGACCCTTTAAAAGGAAGCGTTTTCTCTGTCAATCTATCCATTGGATAAACCTGAGAAATAAGTTACCAATCTTGACTTCTCTTCTCCCGTCTTCCAGCACCCACCTTTCCTTTCCTATATCCGAGCTAATTGAACAGATACGGTCTATTTAGCCCCACCCCGATCCCGATAAAAAATAAAGTAAAAGTTGCTTTCGATGCAAAAAAAAAATAATAATAAAAATAAAAAAAGAAAGAAAAAGAAAAAGATAAATAAATAAAAAAAGAAAGAAAAAGAAAAAGAAAAATCATAGCACTATTACCCACATAGTCTGCAAGCAATAACAGGCAACCAGGGATTAAACTTTGCAGAATAAAAGGATTCAACTTTCTCTCTCTCTCTCTCTCTCTCTCTGTTGTATGTGTTTGGTGTATGTGTGTGTGTTTTTAATGATTGTTTTAGAGACTCCCAATGTCTGGGGATTTCTCTCTCGCGGATCATAACGTATCTGGTGAAGGGGGTGCGTGTGGTAGTTGAAAAGGGAGGAAAAAAGAGGGGTCGGGTGGTTTGTTCTGGGGGTCCCCCGTGCACTGCAAACCCCTCATGGGTGCTATTTTGCAATCTCAGGCGCTCGCGATTGGTCAGTCCATGATCAGATGGTTCTACTTCCTTGTGTCCCTCGCTGGCTCCCAGCCATCCCCTTCAGCTAAAACCCAATCTCCGATATACTACTAATAGCTAAACCACTTGGACTATAAAACACAACAAATCATAAGGCCGGGGAAGGACCGCTGCCTCCTCCCAATGAGTTCTTATTTTGTCAACTCCACTTTCCCGGTGAGCCTGGCCGCCGGGCAGGAGCCTTTCCTGGGACAAATCCCGTTATATGCCTCGGGATATGCGGATCCTTTAAGACACTACCCCGCTACTTATGGAACCAGCGGAGTGCAGGAAAAGGGTTACCCTTCCTCCTCTTACTACCAGCAAGCGAACGGGGCGTACAGCCGGACCTCCGCCTGTGACTATGGGGTAGCAGGGTTTTACAGGGAGAAAGACCCTGCTTGTGCCAACCCCAATCTGGAGGACCATGTCCCGTTTGCCTCAGACCAGCGGAAGTCAGATTGCGCCCAGAGCAAAACTGTTTTCGGGGAAAGTGAGGAGCAGAAGTGTTCTACCCCAGTCTACCCCTGGATGCAGAGGATGAATTCTTGCAACAGTGAGTTCCTT